TAAAGGATAAATCAAATCTTTATTCTAGTCCAGTGCCCTGTTTCCAATAGTAGCCCTACGGTTCAGAGGCAGGTGGTAGGATCCAGGCAATTGGCAGCAATAGAATAATTTCTCTCTTGTCCTAGCAGAGGAGTTTCAACAAGGATTTAACATGCATCTTTCCCGTGATTAAGCCCCTGAATCTCTACTGAAAACATTTTAGTCCAGTTTTCCTTATTTATGAGTAAAATAACTCATGCTATAGAAAAAAAATATGGAAAAACAGGGAGACTGAAGACAGTAGGGGGTTTCGCTTATCAAAATTTACCAGGAATTTCTTCCTCCTTTTAATTTTACTTAATAACATTCCCAAGTTTCTGTCTCCCGTGTCCAATTTTGTGAACGTTTATTTAAGTTTCCTTGCATTGCTGACTTGCTGTCTGTCTCTAGGGCAGTGGTCTCCAAACTTCCTTGATCATCACGCACCCCTATCAGTAAAAAATTTTTGAGCACGCACCCCCAATATATGTACATTTATAGAAATAGAAGTTCTAATATTTTCTTCCCGCACCCCAATGGATCGTCTTGCACACCCCCTGGGGTGCACACACCCCACTTTGGAGACCACTGCTCTAGGGGACTGTTGAGAACCAATCTGCAGCAAAGACCACTTAGGATATGAGGAAAAAGTTCCAACTGGAAAGGGTAGTGAAATACTGAAACATGCTACTTAGGGAGGTTTTGGAATAGCCTTCACTGGATGACTGTGTAGTCTGAATAGTCTGCTCAACCAGATGATTTCAGGAGTTCCCTTCCAGCCCTACCTTTCTATGTCTGATACATTCCTTGAGCAATTTTGGACGCTGAACGTTAGACAAATAAAAAAAGCAATCATTAAAACTTTTTAAAGTGTTCATCGCCTGTTTGCCTGTTTAGCAAAAAATTTGCAACCCATGACAGTGGTGTATTAGCTGTCAGTGGAAGGGATGGCACACTACAGTACAATCGCACGGCACCAAAAATTCAGAACACAGGCTGGAGGAAGTTTCACGCCCACTTCTTCTAGAAAGACTCTGAGTTTTTGTCTTAAATTTAACCCCTATTCTTGTCTCACAAATGGTCAGCTCTGGGTTATGCTCTTAGGGTTTGCTACTCCTCCAGGGGTTGGCATGAAGTAGGAAACCAGAAAGACATACCTTTTAAATATATATAGCCACAGAGTCAGAACCAAATTTAGTGGTTAATTTATTCTACTAATTGAAATTCATTTTAAATGACGTCATACTAAAAATTGGTATATGGGTTGTTCAATCACGTGGTTTATTTTTAAACAATTAACTTGAATTGGCTAATTTTTTAAAATTTTTGTTTAAAGTACCAAAAAACTGGGGAAAGCACTCATTTCTGCACTAAAGGATAAGGCACTTCATCTGGGGAAGAAATGTTCAGTTAGCCATGGAAAAACTGCTTTTGTGCAGGATTTTCAAAAGGGAGTTAGGAACCCTAATGTTTTCAGATTCCCCAAATCATGCAACATGTAGGTGAGCAAAGGGTGTTTTAACTGAACTGTACACTTCCTTGATGGTTTCAAAGATATACTCAATGAAATTTTAATTGAATGATTACAATGCACAAATAAACTGTACGGTATATACAATCCTCTAGTGGAGAAAATACCCAACTGCTTTCTGCATACACAACTGCCTTACATAATAACCCCAAACATACAAAAGGAGTCTTCGTTTTTAACTAGGGATTTAGTCGCACTTCATCAGTATCATATTTACATGGGTCAAGCCAAATGCAAGTGAAAGTTTTACTGTCACCTTACTTTGCATGTTCTGTTATTAATCCATACAAAGTCTGGTGGGGTAGCCCCTGAGGTACAATCAGTTTTCAGATGTTGTGAAGAGAGTCTTTAAATTCTAGGCTAACTGGATTTGCCAAGGTATGGATTTTGTCTTTTGACAAGGTTAAAATGGAAGGACATCACTGAAAGTAATTCCATAGCACTAGATAATATCTATCCTGAACATGACAGACAGCTCCTACAGGATCTTATCATTATTTAGATCTATATAGAGATATATCTATCTCTGTACACAACACTCTTTATTTATGTGCTCTGCATGAGTAAAGATAACATATGTATATGGACATACACAATAACCATTTATGCCACTTTATTATATAGGAGCATCCAGGGACCCCTGACAGTATAGATTTACTCCAGTAGGCACTGTATATACTTACAGCATATACTTATAGTACCTGTCTTTAAGAGACTGAAAGGCTTATTGTTCTCATTCATGTACATATGAATACATACGTATTTATACACACATACATACACATACACACATATACATACATACGTATATATAAATGCTTGTTCCATTTGAACAGGATAATGCGCATGCACACACAAACACACATACATACACACATTACAGCTATTAGATCTATTAATGTAATCAATGAAAGCACTTCTAGTTCTAGTCGCACTGTGTATATTTACATATTGATACAAATATACACACACAGCGTATTTATGCAGTGAAACAATACTTATTCTGTCTTTTCAACCAAATACAGTATTACAAAGAATCACAGGGATGAGAATTTTCAGCTGAAAAAAAGGTGTATATGAGCTATGCTTAAAAGAAGCCACATAAAGCTGAACTTTAGAAAGCCATAAACTTCCCAGTCTATTAGAAATAAGGCATGTTTGCATTTAAAGAGTTTTTCCAAGTGAAAGTGTGATTTTACATTGTTCAGACACTTACAGCTATTATTCATTTCCGTGAAGCAATACCCAAGAGATAGTTTTGCATGATTCATCTTAGATTTGTGCCAGTTCTGTACTTTTCTGTTTACACCTGTGCAGAGTTTTTTGAAAAGCCATATTTTCCTTTTGAACAAGCTAAATAAACACTATAATGCTCCTTTTACAAATATCAGCCATTTATGTTGAATATTTGATATATTTCATGGGCTGGTTTGACAAGAATTCCATATAGCAGTCAGGAACCATCAAGGTAATTTCCTCTAGATGAATGATGTTTGGACTGGATTTTTCAATTTTTTTTACTATGGCAACATATGGCCAATCAGAATAAAAGCGTGCCATCTGTTTGCAATTGGTTTCAGCTACTATGTTTTAGTTCATTGGTAATATTTTGCATATTAAGCTAAGTACGATTCAGGTTGAGGTTTCTTTACTTTTTTTTTAAGGTAATGTTCTCTAAGGAAGTATAGATTACGTAAGCGTTCTCATTGACTGGTGATACTTTTAGGAATCGTTTCATTTCGAATTTCCCTGCTTTATCATCAAAATCCATAAAACGGTCAATTTGGAAACAACCTTAGAACTTTTGCAAAAGTAAAGATATAAAAGTTGAGGAAGTGCAATCCCACCCAAAACTGTAAGTCTTCATTGTTTATATTAAGGCCGTATATAGTGTTCATTGTGTTGAGATCAATAATTGTCTCAAGCTGAGATTTAAAGCATTTATAGGCAACGGTTTATAACAACACAAAACTGCTTTTGGCATGGAAACAACACGACATTGGACTTGCCCAACCAGCTTTGGGTGAAATTCATCTCTCATCACTTCTCAAGATGACTACCCACTAAACAAACACCTGGGTGGAGAGAATGACTGGATGAAGGAGGAGGGCAAGCCTGGGCTACATTCATATTGATTGGATTAGTTTTAATCCACGCCATTGTTTCTTTTTGAAAAGTATTCCATTTAAATATTTTTAAAAGCCTTTTAACACAACAGATTGCCACATTTTAATACAGTTAAAATGTTTTAAATATCACAACAAGGTGAGCAAACAGCATGATGAATTAGGAAATAATAGGGCAGTGTTTATTATATTTGAGCTTTCATTCACAGCGTGATATATTATGCATACTTACTGAGGTAACTAACCAAGAGGAATGCCAGATGCTATGAAAATGTGACTTACTAAATTATTATGTTTACTAAGCATCAGCTAAAACAAATTGTATATTTACAAGATAGGGAAGTTTTTAAGATTAGTGTCTGATAAGAGAATAAATAAACCTATACCAAACATGAATAGTAATCAGAACACTTAAGGTCAGTAAACTTGCTATGCACCAAATCATCTGATCTCTGTATACGACGAAAACTTCCTAAAATAAACACCTGATAAATCATCCGTACAGAGACAGGGTCGAATATAAACATACACAACATACATAATCAAATGAAAATTTCTGGACAGATTTATTAGCTTGTGGATGTTCCTAATTATTTGAAAAACTGTAGTCCTACTCCCAATAGCAACAGCAGTCAGTAACAAGACTCTAAATCTCAGAAAAGTGACGTGGCTCGCTGCAGAAATGTAGAATAAAGGGAGAGAGAGCGAATTAAACCAATCTTGCCATGTAAAGCAAACATAGGACAGGCAATGGTAATGCCACTTGCACCAGAACTGTTACCGTGTCACAACCAACAAGGTTTACTATAAGTACCAATACTAACACAAGAGATACCATGCAGAAGGGAAAGGGGAAAAGAGATTTATTGCATTCAATTATTTTTGTTAAAAAGTTTCCTCCAGGGCACAAGCACATAATATATTGTACTTTCCATTACCTGGTGCAAATGTAAAACATATCTGAAAAACACATTTTATCCTTCTAACATATTAAAACAACAAGTAAGATGTCATGGCACGGGGGCTTGATAGATGAACTGTCATTTAGTGATGTTGTACTACATTAGTTAACAGCAAATTAATATCATCATACACATTTCCCTCTCTTATATCCAAAAAGATTAGAGTAGAAGCAAAAATCCACGTGAACTCCTATTACTGAATTCCAGCTCGGTTACTTTAATGTAGCCCGAGACAAGATGAGCAGCAGTTTACTCAGCAGTTTGCAGAAATAACATTAAAAAAACCTGCTCAGAACTATTTGGATTTTAGGTTTTTATTATAAGTTCCAAACCATAACCCCCCCCACCAAAATTTTTGCTTTTCAGCAAATTGTACCAAGTTTACTCTGCCTGTCCTTACTATAAAACAAGGCCAGCATTTTTCATCCAATTGTTAAATAAATTTAAGTAGTGCAATAAATGTTTGGTTATTCATGGTAAAATTAGAAGAAAATTGGTGTATTTTTAAATTCATTTTATTTCACCCCACGCTTTCTGTATGTCTTGATCATCTGACTCTCCACTCATTCTCCATTTTTCTCCTTATTTTCTCACCTCTGTATTTTTCTTTGTACAACAGAAATAAACAGTTGGCAACTTGACATAAAGTTCAGACAACGAAGATTACAGTTTCAAATTCTATCTTGCCGAACATGTGGTTAACATTTTTCCCCTGTGTGCTGTGCTTTGCGCATATCACTGAATATGTAACTCAATAAAAGTTCATCACACAGATACACCACTACATGCCACCCATGTCTCCACTCAAGAGTAAAGCTTTAGATACTCTCTGACAGTGTAAGCACACACTTCCCTGAGATTCAAAGCTTGCAGGGAGTCTGGAGTGCAGTTCACCTCTTCATAGACATATGATAGTAGAAGCAAAAAGACACCTACAATTTTGTAGGTTCTTAAACACTAAGTAATCCATTAACTTTAAACACAAAAACATGCTTGAAAGGTATGTGCAAGAAATGTATGGATCTAGATAAAATAAAAGCGTTACCACATTTCACTGCTTTTGTTTTATAGCCTCTCCAGCATTCAAGGGGGTAAGTCAGAGTCCTCTAAGGAGCCCAAGATTCCCCCTCCTGCACAGGGTCAATCCTCAAAATCTTCTCTCTTCACCTCCCCTCTCCCTTACATGACCAGTAAGAGACCTACTCTCATATAATCTTTGTTAACCTTCATCAGGTGATTCCTTGATTGGAGTCACAGGTGATCAATGTGTGCCCTCCAAGGGCATCAGTTGATTTATTTCCCTCTTGAAGCTTGAAAAACAAGTTAGCTTTGTGCAGTCAACACCTCTTTGACCAACAGAGCCTCTGCACAGAAAAGCAAGTTTTGCCAAAGTTTCAGGACCCCTGTGTGTTCATTAATGTTAACTGGACTGCCAATTTTGTTAAATCTAAGCTCTGTAAGAAAACATGCTATCAATGAAATACATGTCTGTTTAAGTGTTCACAAATGTTATTTTTACCATTGTCCTTCTCCATAATAATAAATATACAATAGGTAAAGACAAAACACGAGCACTTATTGCTGTGTTTGGATATACTTATGCGTGTCGTACTTGAAGTTAAAGTGTTCGTGCTTAATGAGCTTTGATGCAACACTTTTACGAAGGTCATAAATGAGATAAAGAGATGCTTTGGTAGAAGACTATTATATAATTTGCAAGGGAGCTATAAAACATAATATCACAGCAAATTAATGAAAGACTATATGTAAGTATGAAAACGTGAATTTAAAGTTGCTGCTGTAAGCTACAAACTGTCAACTATATTTTCTTATATAATTTACTTTTGAGATCAAAGTGCACAGCTAGAAAGGAGACTGCATTGAAGACAAAGAGAATGCTATTTTTCACTAACTTCCATTACTTCAAAAAAACCACTATTGCTGACAATTTTTTGAAGGATCTATCAAAAGCAAATCCTGTCGGCCCCCTTGAAATTTCGTATAGAAACACCAACTTAATGAGTCCCTTTGTTCAATAACTCTCTGTTTTCCAAGAGTCCGTATTAGTTTTTAAAACATTTTGTAGAGTTTTTAGATAAATTTTACCATGCTACCACTTTCTAGGTTTGAAAACCATCAGTTCTATTGCTCTCATATAAACAACTGTACACCATTGGGTTGACAATTTCCTTATTGGCTCTAGTTGGATTTTTCAAGAGTCTAAATTAGGTGACTTTTGGTGGAAGTCAGGTATCCAGCCCCCTTAGGGTCATTTGAAAATCCTAGCTTCTGACAGTGTCCTATCCGGAAAATAGGAATTATCCAGGGGAGGACAGCAATAATGGATATTTAGTTAAGAGACGTCTAAATGTTAATCACCCCCAGTTTAAAGATCATGATTTCCTGTAATCTAGAGGGGAGGGAGAGTATCAGCAATAAAGTGTTCTTTACAACTATACCATTCTATGGTCTGGCACCTCACTGAAGTCATAAAATACCATATATGTAATACATGTAGGGTTGGCAGGACATGATTTTAGTGTACAAGTGTAAAAATTCAGTAGTAGCTCCAGAAACTTCAAAGGGGTTTTTTTTCTTTCGTCGTTCTAGAGAAGCAGCTAAGCAAACTCCTATTTTGAGACTATTTTGTTCAGTGTCTTACCATAAATACAAATTAGCTTACAAACATCAAAAAATATTTTTCAAAAGGTTTATAAAAGAGTGGTGTGACCTAATCCAACTGAAGTCAGTACTTACAATTCGCTGAGCCTTTCACTACAAAGTATTTCAAAATCTTTTACAAATATATGTAGGATGTATAAGAAACAACTGTTCACCCACTACTTGGACAGAATTGGGATAGCAAGGAAAGTTTTGAAAATACTTATTTCTAAAAAGTAGCTGCTATACATTGAAATGAAAAAAAAAGATCTCTCTTTTTAATGTTAACCTTAACATGTTCCACAGAAGTTGTGAACAGTTTTAAACAGTGCTCTTAATTTTTTTTAGGAACAGGATAAGCAGGATTCTATTAGTTGCTTCCTTATTAATAATTTGGCAAATGGAGAAACATGACAGAAGACAAGTTCTCCGAAGCAAATCGACACGAGCAGCTCTTCAGAAACCAGTGAAACATGCAGCCCAGTGAAAGGTATGGCATACACAGCACAGCAGCGATTCAAAAGCAAATAAATCCTGCTACAATGAAAAATCAATGAGCTTGGAGAAGTTCTGACAATGGCCGATTTCTCTGTGAGATCAAGTGGAGAAGCCCCATTAAGAGAGCAGCCATCTGCTTTTCCCTCATCTCGATACATTGCATCAGCCATTTATGCAACTTTCTCCTTCCTCGATATAAGGGCATGAGGGACTGGACAAGTAGGCCCAAAGCCTGCAGAGGAAAAACCTTGGGTGAAAGAAGAAAGCCAGAGAAGAGCCACATAAGGGACATATGTGAGTACTCAAAAGTGAAATAAACCAGAATATTTCTAAGCCAAGTGTATCGGGATCAGGGCCAATACATAGCTCAGGCCCTGATCCCGATACACTATACCTTCCCATTGAAGTCAGTGGGACTATTCATGTAAGTCAAGTACGTGAACAAGTCCAGACCAGGGTGTGACGTGGCATTGAGGAGAGTAACCAAAAGAATTCAAGGCCAGAACCGTATGACGCTTTGGATGCAGCAGCCGAAACCACTTCCTAAGGAGATTAAGATTTCACTGAGAAAAAACATATAGTATTGAGGAATTCTCTTTTGACCATAACTACATCCTGTTTCAGGGCAGTCTTCACAGCCTTTTAAAGAGATCTGACCTTGGGTATGTGCTGCTGAAGGAAAAATAACACAAGTACAATCTGGGACCCAGGAAGGGCCTAAATAACCTAATGTTCAAAAGGAAGAACAAAGTGAAACAAATTTCTCTGTATCTGATACTGATTCGCTCCCCAAGGACAACTTGGGTACCACCATCCAATACAACTAGTGGCTTTGCTGAGTGTTTTGTCAGATGACAGCTGATGCTCCAATTATAAAAAAGGAAATAATCTGGTATTGGATGTTATTGCTCTGCCAAGAGTCAAAAATTTGTTTTGGAGAAAATGAGAAAAAAATAAAGAAGTCAAATGGACCAAGAATACAACACAGACATCTACACATGCCTCTACGGTGCCTTTGTTACTGTGCTGTCGTTTAGTACTTCCTCTAGGAAGTACCAAGTGACAGCGCAGGAACAGCCATTACTGCACTATTTTTAGCTGCTACGTTACCATAGTGACCCAGTGTAGCAAGGGAGTGCATTGCTCCAACAACATGGCTGCAGCGTCACGGTTTGTACCCGCTGATGCTATATCGCCATTGCACGTTGCTACGGCAATATAGCATCTCGTGTAGACATGCCCGACAAAGACAAATTGCCAGCTAGATATCTGCTCTTAGGGTTTGAGAAGCATCGTCAAGGACAACCAAAATAAAACTGTTATCTGAATTTCGGTCAGTGGCAGAGACCGTTGTTCATTATATAGGAATTTAGAAATGGGGTATTTTATTTTGATCCTGTTCATATTAACATGGACCTTGGATGTGTGAGTATACTTCCTTTCATTTTGTAAAATGACAAATTCTTCTCCCTCCCTCTTGTGGCCCCCCAGATCCCACACCTGGACATCTTTCAGAAGCACTGCAAGACCTTTCTATTTGGGCAGGTATTTAGAAAACCATAAGTAAGCCAAGTCATTTATTGGATCTCTGCTGCATTTTATTTTATTTATACTAGTTACCTCTTTAAGTTGTTCTGTTTCTCTTTGCAAGGTGCCCTGAGCCTTTGTTGAGAAGAATGGCATATACAGCACATAAATAAATCCCGTATCATCATAACTAATGTACCCTCACTGGGGGACAGGCGGCAATGAACAGGGTTAGCGTTCTTTGCCTTGTGCCATGCTGGCTTCCTGAGTTAAAAAAGTAAAATATGATTCACCACTACCCATGTATTTTAGAATTATCATGGAGTGCTGTAACTCCATGTGGCAGGAAATACAGATTTGCATTAATCTAAATAGCATTTACATGGGATAAAATGGATGACTAAGCATCAGGTTTTAGGGATAACAATGCCTAGTAGATCATGTCAATAGGTTGAAGATATTTTAACAAACCAAAAGTTACCTTTAAAAAATATATATATTCTCTGTATCCTACATATTTCTGACATGGAAAAAAAAGAATGCATAGGGCTATCAGTTTCTCAGATGATTTCCAAATGTTTCATTACTACATAGTACATGGATACAATTTCTGATCCAGATGCTTAAAAAACCAAGTCTAACAAAGAAACTTAATCTGAGCTAGACTTGGCAAACTTTCCAAAAAATACTGTAGGATGATATTTTGGAAGCTGCTCAAACAAAATCCAAAATGGAAATATGCCTCTTTCAACCATACCCTGGGCTGCTGTTAAAAATAAAGATACTTATATTTTCCACAAGTGTGAACTGCAGCTGAGGTTTATAACACATAAAATTTAGATGTCAAAACTGCGCAGGGATAGTTCTTTCTTTTATCTACAGATGCAATAACAGAAAGATGTACGGAATGGTTTTGCATTTGCTTTTTTCAATGGTTATTTAGAACGGACATATTCTTTATGGAATTTTAAATGGCTAAAGCCTTTGAAAATAGACTAAATAGAAAGGAGACAACAATATACTGGAATCTCTTCATCAACTCCCAATAAGAACTATGGTGGTGGTGAGGATGATGATAAAGAATTATAAAATAAGCCTTGCAACTTCCCTGCAGGGGAGGTATTATCTCCATTTCAAAGACTGGGAAACTGTGGTACAGAAATGTACAGTTCCCAAAGATACATGCAGCGGATCCAAGAATATAATGCATATTTCTTAGGATACTGCCTTATCTGATAGCCTTCTCTCCCACCCTTACGAAAGTGACTTATATAGCTAAATCACCCTTCCTAAATCTTCAAAATCATATTCAAATATTCTCTTGAGGGAACAAGGGTCAAATTTCTCCCTGGTGTCACTGGCTAAAGTTAAACAATTTGTCCAAGGGGCCCTGAATACTGTGAGTAGGAACTAAAGAATAAACTTGAACAATAATCAATACTACCTATTACCTGTGGGCGGACACTAATAAACTTTCCTTCCTTTTTCTGCTTTATAATTGCAGTGTGGAAGCTGTCTAAGAGCTAGGAAAGTCCCAACTAACTGTATTCCTTCAGTGTATTCATTGGTGTTGCATAACAAAGAGTCAGCATGGTCCAATACCCTAACATTCAAGAGCAACTTTCATTAAGTGCCTGGCACAGTATTTGTATTATCTAAATCAACTGTATTCTTATTTCCTAAAAAGGGTAAGTGGTTTACAAAATCTTGAGAAACCTGATGTAGGAAACATCTGCAACAAATATAACTCCTCTGCTGCCATTTGGCTTTTCACATGTGAAAAAAAGGATATCACTTAGTAAATTCAATACAAAACTACTTGAAAGTAAGCTAAGTCTATGAATAAAAAAATTCAAATGACAAAAGACCTTACTTGACCTTTGCTGGAGGTTTACTTCTATAAACAGATCTGAAATGAATTAAAGAGGGGGGTGCCCAAAATATTAAAATAACTAATAAGTCACAGAAGATGTTTCTAATAGAAGGAAAAAAAACCCATGGGATTCAGATGTTCTGAACTACATTTTTTATTTACAATTGAATTATGCAAAAACATATGCTAAAGTCAGATTTTTTTAAAGACTTTAAAGGCTTAGCTGTTCACTTTCTGGAGCCCAAGTGTCTCCTATAAATGGTCCTTTAAAATGTTTTCTGTTGATGAATGTTATTCTGTTTTGAATTCACACCCACAATGGCCAAGATATTTCCCATACTGATAACAAAGAGGTTTTTGTTACTGCTGATTGAGGGGTCAGTGGCAGCTGCACTATCTGAGTGACATAATCAGGATAAAATACTGGCACATAACAATGCCTGCTCATTAGAATATAAAACAATTAGAATGCTGTATTTGTCATCTGAACAGCTGTTACTGTATGCTTTAGGTACAATGTGAAGCACTTGTTTTACTTCCTGCTTCTTTCAATTCAAAATGACAATGAAAAATTAACTCAAATAGTGGCAGGTACAACTAGTTTGTAGTGCACTCTTGGAAATAAGCATTTGGCTTTGCAGACCAAGTCAGTCATAATCTGCCATTTTTTCCCTTTAAATGACTGCCATGCGTCCTATGCCATAAGGCATATATAAAAAAGAGTCAACTGGAAATTATTAGAAGGTATGTGTCATACCTCTTGCCAGAGACACTGATGTTTCCAAAAAAATATTACAAAGTTACTCTCAAAGGCAACCTGCAAAATTAGTCCCCAATTCTGTAATTGTATTTGGATGGGCACAAGGCCCAAACCACACAGGTCTGATCACAGGACTAGAGCTTTAAGCGCCATAGATTTTAAAGGTACCGATGGCTTTATCCACATTCCATATTCTTTAAACTTATCATGATACCACTGGATCGGAAAGGGAAACCTGCCCTTATTCAAATACTTTAAGGACACTGAGCTTTTATAGATTCTTAGTCTGCCTAAAACGTCTGCCATTACTTTATCAAATCAGTATTTTACCCAATAGTCGGAATTTTCTTCATGATAAAATCCTATTACTTCTTTGTGGTATTTTTTGGGTTCATGTTATGGTATAGCTACATGAACTTGTTGTGCCATAATAATCTTTTGCTGTACTGCAGAGTAATAACTACTGGGATTTCTAAATTACAGGGATGACCCCAGCAGTAGTTAAGCACAAGGAAACGCCCTCATTGACCTCAGTGGACAAATACCAACGTAGATTATCACTGTTAAGCAGCCAACATTCAGAAGGAGGCCAGTGCTGATGGTTACCCAGTACCTGGGGAAACCATAGCACTTATTAAGATCCCTAATTGTAGAGTTGGCTCCTACATATTTTAGAAACTTGGCACAATTCTATTTAAAATATAAAACAATATTTAAAAAAAAAGCTATGGCTATTTTAAAAAGTAGTATT